GAACTGGATGAGGCTGTCCGACTGTCGGTGAATGGAAAATGAAAACGTCCCTTACCTCAAACCTCCGAGCATTATGAGAGAAAGAAAACACACTGTACAGTCGGGAGTGCAGCATGCATTCATAACGTGTTTTTGTTTAGCGGGGCTACTTTGAATGAGTCTGATTTACTATACTGCGTTTCACGAAAGACAGAGTTAAGATGCCGTTCCTTTATCCCACATGGATGCTGTGATTATAAACAAGAGACCAAGACCTTGAGTATGGTGAGGATGAATGGATGAGCTTTTAAAATTGTCTGAGAGGCGTCCCCTTTATGCCCAGTAGGCCTACCTTGTGTTTAATTTGCTAATTTAGGCTATTTTTAAAAAGATTAATATAACATAAAACTCTACATTATTAATATGACTTCATAATACCTATTGGCCTGATCAGCTTTTATATTAATGGACAATGCACAGATAATGTTTTACGCTACATTATTTGAATCTAAAAAGCTTAGTTTGCAATGTTTACATTGCTCTATACATTAAATCCAAATAATCCCACATATCAGAAATGACAACAGATTGTTCTGATTTAATTAATGTTAATGTTATTGTATAATGCACTTACTTGACAGTTCATTCATTCATTTTCCTTCTGTTAAGTCTCTGGTTTATCAGAGGTTACCACAGCGGAATGAACCACCACGTACTTAACAGATTTCTGTATTTTTAATTTCAGGTGGTGTGTGTAATGTGTTTTATGTTTGGTAAAATAATTTGTATTTGCATCTTTAGTGAGTTTCAGCTAATAACACTGTCTTGTCTCAGTAGGTGGACTGAGAGGTTTTTGCAAAAAAAAAAAAAATACAAGTGGATTTAACAGACGCAAAAGAAAATTCACCTTGTTAAAAACCAAAGAATTGTCTACAGTGACATTAATGAAAAAAAGGTATTTTATTCACAAGCTAATAACCTCATTACATATAAAATGAAACTTCTAAACCTAATCAGAGGAGTCTGATAGAAAACGCTCATTCACAAGAAAAGAGGACTGACAGATTTGGAGGGTTTTGCATCTGAACTCTTTATTTATTTATAAATTCATTCATTCATTTTCTTGTCGGCTTAGTCCCTTTATTAATCCGGGGTCCACTTTATTAAATGCCCTTCCAGCCGCAACCCATCTCTGGGAAACATCCACACACACATTCACACACACACTTATACACTACGGACAATTTAGTGTCAACAATTCACCTGTACTGCAAGTGTTTGGACTGTGGGGGAAACCGGAGCACCCGGAGGAAACCCACGCGAAGGCAGGGAGAACATGCAAACTCCACACAGAAACGCCAACTGAGCCGAGGTTTGAACCAGCGACCTTCTTGCTGTGAGGCAAAAGCACTACCTACTGCGCCACTGCCTCGCCCCTATATATATATATATATATAAATGAAGAGTTCAGATATATACTTTTTGTTTTGTTATTACTGGTTATATATTCCTAAAAAAATCTATAAAAATTAAGAATATAAAAAATAAATATTCATTGACAAATATATAAATACACTGAAAGCCACTAATCAAAGCTTGAAGCAAAATAATCCACCTTACATGTTTTTTGCTTGTGCCTTTCATTTTGCGTTTGTGCTAGTGTTTGAGCTGTACCTTTACTCCCAAGAGTCAGCACTGAAGCTCCACTCATGCTCTATTTTTATTATTTTTTTATTTTTGTTCTACGTATACATGCGTCAGACGACCGCCTGTGTCTACTGCGTCAGTTTTCCTTTTTCTAGAGTTCATAAACCGACCTGTCGAGGTAAAAATAGTTTGGCTTTTGCTGCGCAGGGCGCCGGTGTCAGTTTGACGGCGGTGGACCAATCAGAGCAGTGTGGAGGCGGGGAGAGCGTTCAGTGCTGCCTCAGGCTGCTCAGAAACATCTACAGCTTCAGTCTCCTTTACGAAAAACGTCTCCAGTAAATTAAAATAATGCTTAATGAGATTAGTTTTGAAGCAGAACACACTGCGTTGATGATGAAACTCACAGATGAAGATTTAAAGGCATCATATTTACCAAAACATAGGCAGTCTTTCTTTCTGTAATAGCAAGACATTACTATAAGCCAGTTTGTTTTAATTTCTGATCTACGGTGAGTAGATGAGTGCGCAGCTTGAAAGTCTGTATATTGATTTTGAGATGTTTTGTGAGGGAAATTGAAAGGATGTTTAGGAGAATAATAGACAGCCATTCTGTGCTGTAATATCAATGCGTCATGCACAGAAAAGGGCTTCATTCACACTGTGGTCTCACATAGCTGGCTCTATATAGGCTCAATATACCTTATAATCAAACAATCATAACAGTGGGATTTTAATGAGCTCATCTGTCGACACCATGAGGAAGTTAAGAAATACATTCTGCGCTGACTCTCTGTGGTTTTCAGAATGCATCGCTGTTCTCTCTTTAATGGATTCTGGGTGTAGTTTTCAACAGCAGATGGCGTTGTGTGATTGACGAACAGTCATACTCTGCTTACATCCAATTCTGTACACATACCACCTGAACCTAAAATAAGCATTGATGAAGTTAGGAAAGGTTTGAGTAAATTACAAACATGTTCATAGCGAGCTGTGTTTACAAATCTCTCCACCTGTGAAGCTCCATCTGCCTTTAAAACTAGTCTAAAACTAGCATAGAGTGCCCTCTGCTCTACATAACTAGAGTAGAGCACCATCTGCTGTTAAAAACTAGCCTAGAGCGCCGTCTGCTGTTAAAAACTAGCCTAGAGCGCCATCTGCTGTTAAAAACTAGCCTAGAGCGCCGTCTGCTGTTAAAAACTAGCCTAGAGCGCCGTCTGCTGTTAAAAACTAGCCTAGAGCGCCGTCTGCTGTTAAAAACTAGCCTAGAGCGCCGTCTGCTGTTAAAAACTATCCTAGAGTGCCCTTTTCTGTTAAAAACTAGCCTAGAGCACCATCTGCTGTTAAAAACTATCATAGAGTGCCCTTTTCTGTTAAAAACTAGCCTAGAATGCCGTCTGCTATTAAAACTTAGCCTAGAGCACCATCTGTTGTTAAAACTAGCCTAGAGCACCGTTTTCTGTTAAAAACTAACCTAGAGTGCCGTCTGCTGTTAAAAACTAGGCTAGAGCACCATCTGCTGTTAAAAACTATCCTAGAGTGCCCTTTTCTGTTAAAAACTAGCCTAGAGCACCATCTGCTGTTAAAAACTATCATAGAGTGCCCTTTTCTGTTAAAAACTAGCCTAGAATGCCGTCTGCTATTAAAACTTAGCCTAGAGCACCATCTGTTGTTAAAACTAGCCTAGAGCACCGTTTTCTGTTAAAAACTAGCCTAGAATGCTGTCTGCTGTTAAAAACTAGTCTAGAGCGCCATCTGCTGTTAAAAACTAGCCTAGAGCGGCCTTTTCGGTTTAAAACTAGCCTAGAGCGCCATCTGCAGTTAAAACTAGCCTAGAACGCAGTCTGTTGAAAAAAACTAGCCTAGAGCGCTGTCTGCTGTTAAAAACTAGCCTAGAACGGCCTTTTCTGTTTAACGCTAGCCTAGCGCACCATTTGCTGTTAAAAAACTAGCCTAGAGCGCCGTCTGTTAATAAAAACTAGCCTAGAGCACCATCTGCTGTTAAAAACTAGCCTAGAGCGGCCTTTTCGGTTTAAAACTAGCCTAGAGCGCCATCTGCTGTTAAAAACTAGCCTAGAGCGCCGTCTGCTGTTAAAAACTAGCCTAGAGCGCCATCTGCTGTTAAAAACTAGCCTAGAGCACTGTCTGCTGTTAAAAAAACTAGCCTAGAAAGGCCTTTTTGGTTTAAAACTAGCCTAGAGCGCCATCTGCTGTTAAAAACTAGCCTAGAGCGCCATCTGCTGTTAAAAACTAGCCTAGAGCACTGTTTGCTGTTAAAAAACTAGCCTAGAGTGCCGTCTGTTGATAAAAACCAGCCTAGAGCGCCATCTGCTGTTCAAAAAACTAGCCTAGAGCGCCGTCTGTTGATAAAAACTAGCCTAGAGCACTCTTTTCTGTCAAAAACTAGCCTCAAATGCCATCTTAATTACTAGTCTAGAGCACCATGTACTGTTAAAAAGTAGCCTAGAGCAGGGTTTTGGAGTCTCTGGTAATGTTCTGATGAGTTGATTCAGGTGTGTTTGATTAGGCAGAGGCTGAAAATGTGTACTGTTGCTGAGCCTTTAGGAACAGGGTAGGGAAACACTGCCATAAAATAAACTGTGACCCATAATGTTGACACAATTTATCCCTTTAACCTTAGCATGCTCTTGACCACACACACACACACACACACACACACAAAGACACAAACACGAGGAAACAAAAACAATTGCTGTGTAGACGCGAGTGCTGTAGGAGGGTCAGCGCTGTCCCCGCGGAGCGCCTGCGTTTAACAGATAAGACGGGCTGATCTGAGGACAGCAGTGTCTGGAGTGCGGACGGAGTGGACAGATGGGCTGAGAGAGGCGTAAATGAGGAACGCTACAGAACTCACACTTTGTGCTTCGCTACATTTCTTCAGAGAGAAATGTCAAGCCGCACATAATCAAAAGTCACCAGTCTGTTCAGGAGCCGGACTCGCAGATCACATTTTCGGTGCGAATTACGTTCCAGAAAAGTTGCTAATGCTGCAACCCCTGCCAGGGATTCAGAGAGGAGCGCTTTTATAATCAGTGGATACATGGAGACGAGGACAGACACACATGAGACAAACACGTATGTCTGTCTGTGTGTCTGCAGAGTCAAACAAGTTTCATTTAAAGGAATAGCTCAAACAAAACCTACATCTCTGTCATCTTCTACTCATCATTTATTCTTATAACAAACCTGCATGGGTTTTTTTCTTCTGTTGAACACAAAAAAAGATTTTCTTGTGTGAAAAAAAAGAAAGAAAAATGCTGAAAACCTGTAACCATTGACTTCCATGTTATTTGTCTTTCCTACTTGGGAAGTCAATGGTTCTAGATTTCAGAATCAAAACACTGATAAAGACTCACCCCTCGCCGCCGACTTTGGTGATCTTGAGTCTGAAATCCACAGAGTTGTGACTCGGCGGCTTCCACTTCAGGATGTCATCACATCGGCCTGGCTTATATTTCTACAGGGAAAACACAGAAACCAGCTCACTTCAGGTCATGATGTAGGAAATAACCGCATAACATTAACAGGGGTGATGTTGTCGCCTCACAGCAAGAAGGTCTCTGCTTCGAGCCTCGGCTGGGTGAGTTGGCGTTTCTGTGTGGAGTTTGCATGTTCTCCCTGCATTCGTGTGGGTTGCCTCTGGGTGCTCCCCTGCAGTCCAAAAACATGCGGTACAGGTGAATTGGGTAGGCTAAATTGTCCGTAGTGTATGAGTGTGTGAATGAGTGTGTATGGATGTTTCCCAGAGATGGGCATCCGCAGCGTAAAACATATGCTGGATAAGTTGGCGGTTCATTCAGCTGTGGCGACCCCAGATTAATAAAGGGACTAATCTAAAATGAATGAATGAATAACATCAACGGAAACCCTTCACAATAGTGTGGAGCCTCCTGAAAACCAGAAAAAGCACAAATAAACATTTCAACATCTAAACCTTAGAAAGCCTAGCAAATTCAGCAAACATACGGCCTTTAAATGATCAGAGTGAACAAGGTTTTGCTAGAAATCTTCACAAACGTTTTCTGAAAACCTCCTGGACTGATGCCAGTTAAGTGTTCCATAATCAAAACCTAATATTTTAGAAAAGCCATGTTGACATCAGTATAGCAAATGAAGAGTTTTATATCTAAGACTTGTTTATCTCGTGGTCATCGCTGTATTGCTCTGGATTAAACTGGGTGTTTTGCTCATGTTTAAGCTTTGATCATTAAACGAATCATTCAAATATAATGGGAAACTATAGAGATCTATGGTGACACATTACTTTATTACTGTATGCATATTAAAGCAATAGTCTGTTATACTTTCAGAAACAACATCTGCACAAAATTTACGGCTTCATTCATGCTCAGTTGAAGCCTCTGAAATAAAAAATGTGGTGTTTTTCCACTTGATGTTTAAAAGCCTACATTCTGACTATATAAAAACTGTAAAAATAAATAAATAAATATGAATATATATCTTGGCATTAGTGATGCGCAGGGCCGGCGCGTCCATAGAGGCGACCTAGGCGGGCACCTAGGGCAGCAGAATAGAGAGGGCAGCGTCCCCGACACTACCCACTGAGCCCTCAGTTATATCTGCTTGTAGGGTGGTAGAATAGAGGACGGCATCCCCGACACTACCCACCGCGCCCTCAGTTATATCCGCGTCTAGTGTGGTAGAATAGAGAGGGCGGCGTCCCCGACACTACCCACCGCGCCCTCAGTTATATCCGCGTCTAGTGTGGTAGAATAGAGAGGGCGGCGTCCCCGACACTACCCACCGCGCCCTCAGTTATATCTGCTTGTAGGGTGGTAGAATAGAGGGCGGCGTACCCGACACTACCCACCGCGCCCTCAGTTATATCCGCGTCTAGTGTGGTAGAATAGAGAGGGCGGCGTACCCGACACTACCCACCGCGCCCTCAGTTATATCCGCGTCTAGGGTGGTAGAATAGAGAGGGCGGCGTCCCCGACACTACCCACCGCGCCCTCAGTTATATCCGCATCTAGGGTGGTAGAATAGAGAGGGTGGCGTCCCCGAAACTACCCACCGCGCCCTCAGTTATATCCGCGTCTAGGGTGGTAGAATAGAGAGGGCGGCGTCCCCGACACTACCCACCGCGCCCTCAGTTATATCCGCATCTAGGGTGGTAGAATAGAGAGGGTGGCGTCCCCGAAACTACCCACCGCGCCCTCAGTTATATCCGCGTCTAGGGTGGTAGAATAGAGAGGGCGGCGTCCCCGACACTACCCACCGCGCCCTCAGTTATATCCGCATCTAGGGTGGTAGAATAGAGAGGGTGGCGTCCCCGAAACTACCCACCGCGCCCTCAGTTATATCCGCGTCTAGGGTGGTAGAATAGAGAGGGCGGCGTCCCCGACACTACCCACCGCGCCCTCAGTTATATCCGCATCTAGGGTGGTAGAATAGAGAGGGTGGCGTCCCCGAAACTACCCACCGCGCCCTCAGTTATATCCGCGTCTAGGGTGGTAGAATAGAGAGGGCGGCGTCCCCGACACTACCCACCGCGCCCTCAGTTATATCCGCATCTAGGGTGGTAGAATAGAGAGGGTGGCGTCCCCGAAACTACCCACCGCGCCCTCAGTTATATCCGCGTCTAGGGTGGTAGAATAGAGAGGGTGGCGTCCCCGAAACTACCCACCGCGCCCTCAGTTATATCCGCATCTAGGGTGGTAGAATAGAGAGGGTGGCGTCCCCGAAACTACCCACCGCGCCCTCAGTTATATCCGCATCTAGGGTGGTAGAATAGAGAGGGTGGCGTCCCCGAAACTACCCACCGCGCCCTCAGTTATATCCGCGTCTAGGGTGGTAGAATAGAGAGGGCGGCGTCCCCGACACTACCCACCGCGC